AGTGTATGTGATGTATTTGATGAATGGTTTACACTGAAACTGAAATCTCGATTACAATGCAAACTGTAGTTTACAATAAAGAAATTGATTGATTGATTGATTGATTGATTGATTGATTGATTGATTGATTGATTGATTGATTGATTGATTGATTGATTGATTGATTGAGTAGTACTATACGTGTCTAAAGGGACAATCCTGACTGCTGCAGTGGCTTTGGTTTCTGTATTTTTTCCAAATAATTATGCTTACCAGCTGTTGTTAGAGCAGAAAATTTAATGAAAACTCTCCTCAATGACAAACTACTGGTGTCTAAACAGTGTAACATTGTAATGACTTCAATGAACAATAAGTCCAGTTTTCTTCAGCTGAAAAGAGAACATTTAACTTAGTACTCTGAGCTCTGTGAGTTAAGAAGATGGACCGCCAAGCCAACCAATGAGCAGAAGTTGACTCTCTAGGACACACCCCCCCCTCATTTGCATAATGAGACAGAAATGCATAGAGAAATGTAAAAAGGGCAGAGAGAAATGTAAAAAGGGCAGAGAGAAATAAACAGCGGCGAAGAAATAACTAAGGTAAAAAAATACAAAGGAAGAATAAAACAGACAAAAATATTATAACATGCACATAAATAAATACTTAAAAATATAAGTAATTAAAAAATAAAGTTGAAGATTATAAAGGACAGAAAAATAAATAAGGTAAATATTACAAAGGCAAATAAATAAAGAAGCTAATTAAGAGTTATATACATTTATGTCTCACTTTTTTGTTGGCAATTAATTGTATGCTTATACATTTAATGAGCATTTATTTATTTCTGTATTTATTTTTAAATATGGCAGAGTTGGTCCTTCATACCATTCATCATAATGTGTAGAAAAATTAACTGATAGAGGCTGTAATGAAATATTATATTATATACGAATATTGAGTTCTATGTAGTGACGGAAAGGCTGCTGTGGGAAAGACAACCTTTAGCAAATCTTAAAAGATTATCCCTGTTTTAGAGTTAACATTAAAAATAATTAATATAAGTATTCTCCCTATTTTTGGATGAAAGGGAAATACGAGGTGTTCGGAATTTTTTTCTGTTTTCCTTTTATGGAGCTAACACTGCTATCCTGCCATTAACGTGACAGCTGATGGGCTTACAAGTAGAAAAAGGTTAAAAATAACATTTTGTGGCGAGAATAACATTAATCCTTAAGGCCAGGTGTTCTTTTTATGAAAACTAAATAAAATACTAATATGTATTTCAAGCAGGTGATAATTTTCATTAAAATGAGGAATATCTGTACCATTTATCAATACATTTACTGTTGAATTAATTAATTGAATCAATTTCAGAAAATAAGGGACTGAGAATCAGAACCAGGCAAAGGGACAAAATAGGGAAAAAAATAGTCTCGTTAGAATCAAACTTTGTTTAGCTACTGAATTTATTGCACTTTTTTTTTTACTTTAAATTAATCAAAAAAAGTTTAATCTGTAAAAATTATACTGCAGACTAGGGTTTGGTGTTTTCGCCAAAGTCAAATTTGATTAATGCAGTTCTAAATCGATTAATTTCGATTCAATCTATTTTGACAATAATGAAAGTGGTTCAACTGTATTTCAAAATATCCATGTATTTTATTTTTTCCTGTCACATTAAGCACAAAGTGCAAACTTGTAAATCAGAGTTTAAACTTGAGAGGTAAACAAAACTGTCTCAAAAGTGCAAACTTGTTAGTGAAAAGTGAAAAGGCCTCACTCGAGCTAGCAGACGTGACACAGCAGGGACACAGCAGACATGCATGAGCTGCATTATCTTCTCTGCACAAACCTGCAGCGTTGTCTGTAACAACTACAGGGTGTTTGCTGGTCAGCCCCCATTTGTTAATGTCTTCAGTCAATCTATTGTCTATATCTGCAGCTGTCTGGCTTGAAGTTATCTTGAGTGCATCTTTCCTGCTCATTTGAATGTGAATGTCACGCACGTCACTATAAAACTAATCGATCTCATTCCCTAGACATCGATTTTGCAAAAATGTGAAGGAATTGATTCAAAATCGATTAAATAAATTGTTTTACCCAGCCCTACTGCAGACATTCACATATTAAAAAACTAAGCTGCAAAAATGAAAATGCAAAAATGTGTGGACCTCTCAATGACTCAGGCCAAATCGATCAGCACTAGATTGAGTCTGATCTCTTTTTGCCAATCAAAATACACTTATGTGATTTTGCAGGTGATTATTACTTTTTTTCTTGCTTTAAAATTTTTAGAGTTGAATTTCTGCTGATGAGGTTATGCAGCTGATTTTTTTATGTGTGAAATTTAGCAGTAGAATTTTTTTCATACCAAATTTTAGCAGGGGGAAAAACATACTATAAATTCACATATATGATTGCACAGGTTAAAAATAAGTATCATAAGTTCAAGGTCAAAACACTGGTTCTAATGAGACTGTGTTTCTTCCATACAAAGGACATACAGCAAAAACACTCAATTTAAAGTCACATTTAACATAAATACTAACTTATGTATCAGATATTATTTGAAAGTTTGTCTTTATGTCTAGTAAGGGGAGCAGGAACAAAAAATGAAAAAAGTATTTTTGTTATCTCTATTTCTGCCTGGACTCAAATCACCCCTAGGTTATTACAGCCAAATCAAAAGTGACAGTAAATAACTCTAACGTCTCAAATATCACTACAATAGATTTGTTTTCAGAGGTTGAAGGTAGCTTGTTTCATATATATCTGTACTTTAGTTGTGTTGGATTTTTAAGTTTTTCTTAATTAATATCATTATGAAAGTATTGCTACTCTTGAGAACATTTTCTGGTTACTCTACCCAGTAACTTGAGCTCATTGAGACCAGGTGAAAATACAGTTTAAGGGTAGATATTTTACTTACATATATGCATCACATACAATCTAGGAATGGACTGGTTGGAAAAACAACCAATCTAGTTGGTTAAACCAATTTTGCTTAGATGAACTATTATACTGGTCAGAAACTGACCGACCCATTGGTTTCAGATCTACCAATTTGATCAGTTAACCAAACAACCAATAAAAAATGGTTACAGTAGTTTAATAATCTGACCGTTGGCTGTAGTCAAGCGTAGTAATAGTCATGGACCTAGAGCACAAACACAGTGGTGTGTTCATGTACAACATGCTGTCTGTCTATCAATATCTAAGGGGAATGATGGCCTAGTGGTTAGGGCTAGGGGTGTAAATCACATCCATCATGGCGATTCAATTCAGTATCAATTTCCTGACCCAACGATTCCATTATTTGATACTCAAGAATCCTCAAGAATCCTCCATGTCTGTCTTGCCTACTGTTTACGCCAGTAAGTGTGTGCATGTGGAAAGAGGGTAGTGGCTAAAGGAAGAGTGGTAGGAAGGCAAAATAGGTATAGCGCCACCACAGCACGGGAGTCAGAATTACGTCCAGGAACAAATGGATAAAAATAAACCGGAGGAAAAAAAAATTATGAATTGATTCTCTTGCAGACGTCTCGATGCATCAGATCGTCGGCTGTTGGATCGATGCATCGATACAAAACAATTATTATTTACAGCACTAGTTATGGCATAGAGCTTGGAATCCTGAGGTTGTGAGTTTGAGCCCCACTCCCAACAGAATGCCACTCTGGGTCTCTGAGCAAGACCCTCAATCCCACACTTCTCCCCGGGGGGTTCCATGATGGCAGCCCACTGCCCATCCCGAGGGGATGGGTTAAATCCAGAGGTAAATTCCTCAAATGTGAGATCAATAAAGTTGAATTATGATTATTAAAACTAGATGGGTTGTTTTAACCAAAGGAGTGGTTGGACATATAACTACCAACCGGATTGGTGAAATTATAACACATCTTTTGGTTGTATTATATTATATTGTCCACTAGAATACACAGTAAGGTTTTATAGGTTAAAATATTTCTTTTAAATCATGTTGTTTATTTGGATCCTTAATTATCTTAGTTTTTACTTTTAAATATCAGAATAACTCGCTGCCTGTTTAAATAACTCTAAATATTATATCAGATGTCATGGGCCAATATTACTCAGTACTCGAGTATCCATCTAACCTTATGTACTTTTTTTGTTTTTGATTCATTTGTTGGACCACTGCTTTCTTCTTTAGCAGAGGCGTAGCCAGAATTATTTTATAAGGGTGTCCAGGCAATAACCAATGGAGACTGAGAGGTGGCCGAAAGCAGATAGGCACCAGAACCTCAGGGTCAATCTACACTGTTCCAACATGAAAATTAAAGAGCAAAACATCCATATTTTCTAAATAAAGACAAACTATACTTTCCTACAGCCTTTGCTAACAAATAGATGCATATATTTAAACATCCGTAATTTCTAGATAAAAGGTATAGTGGATAAATCTCTTTCAGTTTGAGTTCTGGGGCTTAAACCTTTTCCATCGTCCTTACCTACTTTTGTCAATAAACGTTCTGCATAAAATTGATATTTACAAGCACTAATATCTACATAAATTTATTATTTGATAAGTTTTTAACTAAATTGTATTTATCTATGATTTCACTGAAGACTCCAAGATGACTTGTAGAGACACATTTTCTCTTTACCCCATTAAAGAAAAATATATAGTTCTGAAAAGAGCATGTATTCTTTATTTATCATTTTTGATATTAGTATAGTGATGTGTATAATTAACAAAAAAAATTAAAATGTTTTGAGTACTCCGCTTGAGAGTATTGCTGCATCCACTATCTGTATTAAAGGGGGGAAATGGTAAAACCCCTGGCCCCCATTTAGCTCCGCCCCTGTACTTTAGTAAAATATGTTAACATAGTTTTATTTTTACTTGAGTCATTTCTTCACCAGCCGTTTTTTTTTTTAATCATCTGACAGTAAACCTGCTCATATTAGACTGTTTATTAGCAGTGACCCTAATGACCTTGTGACCCCTGAAGCAGGACCCTCTGCTCCACCAGCAGCCAGGCTGACTGGGATCCACTCACCTGTAGGAGCTGCCAGCGCTGATCTCCTGCTTGATCTGTCGGTTCAGGGCATCCACCGCCGCCCTGCCTTTGCCCTCTGCCTCCACCTTCAGCACCACCTGCTTACTGGAGCGCTTCTTCCTCTCCTGCCTCTGCAGCAGGTCTTTCTCCTGCACCTTGTCGGCTATGGCGCCCTTCTCCACGCCGCACTCCGCCTCCAGCGCTACGTGCTTCTTCTCGTGCCTGGGCCGCGGGTCGTGCCTGGGCTGCGGGTCGTGCCCCGCTGGGGGTATCCAGGGATGGTCATACCTTTTGTGGATGGGCCAGGGCTTGAAGTCCTTCTGGTACTGGGTCTCGGTGTTGAACGGCGTCTCCGGTTCGTGGTACTCGTTCCTGGGTTTGCAGCTGGGCTCCGGACGCACCTTCCAGTGTTTGAAGTCCTCGCGCATCACCGAGCTGCACACGCGCTCCTCTGAGACGCACCTCCGCGGCCCGCGCGGCGCTCTGGCGGCGCGGGGTTCTGCGCGCAGAGGCTGCGTTTCTATTGCGACCCCGGCCTGTGGAGGATGGAGCTGCGGCTGCAGCTGGATGTGCTGCATCTCCGACACATCCGTGTATTTAGTGAAGACCAGAGGCACCGCGATGTCAGCCTTATCCAGCTGGTTCCAGAACCGGGCCATGCAGCAGGCCCGGCTGATGCAGGGCCAGGCCATGGCGACTGATACACCAAAAACACTGCTTCCTTCCACTGACACGACAGAAAATCCCACTCCACTGCACTGATTGGAGCAAACCAAGAGAGGGTCCGACGTTAAACCCGTTTATTTAATAATCCCATAGTGTAGAATAACCGAAGGAGAGAGACGCTGTTAAAATGGACCGTTTCTGGTTCCGTCTGAGTCCGATCTGCTCTTCCTGCAACATCAGGGGACCGCAGGGAGAAAGGGCCCCGCCCGCCTCAGCATCCCAACAGGAACCGAGGAGGAAAAGAAACGTCAAGCTGGAAAACTTCACTTCCCCTTTAAAGCACAGAGGCTGCAATAAAATAAAACACGCAAATAAAATTATACATCAAGTCATTTAGTGAGCGCACCGTTTGCTGCTTTTCAATCATAAAACACGTTTGGTACAAATATTAAAAATCATGCAGCAGTTTTTTAATTTAATCCATTGATGCAAAGGACGCATTTTACATCTAAAACCTATTTTATAACACATATAAAAACTATTATTTTATGCAACTTGGTTTAAAATATATCTTATCTGTTTATTTCGGCAGGAATTTATCTTTAAGGTTATAGAAATTATATGGAGCCAAATTTGTTGGCCAATTTTACATTATGTTCTGCTAAATGTACAAGAATTACACCCAGTAGCTTATTAATTGTGTAAAACTAAACACAAATACATGAACCTAAAAGTTTAGTTTTCCTCTGTTGGACTTCATCGCAGTAAGAATATTCTGGAAGTATTTTTGGGCCTTTTTTTAGGACCAGCTCCTCATTAGACTCAGATTGTTTGGATTATTTGTTTTGCAAAATACTTCAGGTTAGGTCAGATTGCAGGGAGAACGTATTTATTTATTTTTAGTAATGGCTAATAGCCTACATGTCTTTATGCTATAATTTTGTAATCTATTTTAGTTGTGTTATTGTGTGGTTTAATATGTCTTTGAGCAGCATCTGTGGTAACTATGGAATATAAACTGTGTTTAGACTGTTTGCATCCAGGTGAACTTTCAGTTAGCCAAACTATTGTCTTCATCTAAGCCTTCAACTTGTTTGTTAGATCCAGCTTCAACCACGTTATTTAAGGAAGTATTCCCTCTGATTTCCTCCTCCATTTTAGATGTGATTAATCTATCTCTGTTACAGGGATATGTACTAAAGGCTTTTAAGGTAGCTGCAATTTAACATTTACTTAAAGCTACAGTGTGTAATAATTACAGGGATATACAGTCAGAAATGTAAAATATTATACATAACTATGTTATTTATCATCATCTACGAGCTCAGCCTCTTAACCTTAATATTTGCGTTGCCTTAGAATTCGTTATTTATAATTACATAGGAGCGGGTCTCGCAGCCATGGAGGCAGACATCTTTGCGCTACGGCAGCGCAGAGCCAACAAACTAGCGATTGCGAGATCGCCCATTACGCTCGAAAGTAACTACGGCAAGTTGAGAGAGATGAACTGAGACGGTACTGAACAATAGATGGCAGTATTAAAATTGTCTATGTAAACAAACCTCATCACTTGAGAGGGTAGGTGATGCGGACGTCGTGGAAGACATTTTGTCCCGTAACGCTCGCCGTACTGTTGGGGGGGAGAAGCGGTGGGGGGGAGATGTTCATGTTGCTGCGGTCTGAAGTCTGGATGCTAGATGTCGCTGAAAATTACACACTGTAGCTTTAAGAAAATGTCTCATGACCCAGATGACTCGGTCAATTATAGACCTATATCCGATCCAAGTAGTTGCCAAACAAGTGTGTGATCACTTACATCATAATTGTTGGGAGCTGGAGAAGTACCACTTTCCTCCAGCAGAGTCCGCCATGGATCCTCCTGAGCCGAGCCTCCTGCACAGCTGAAGCTCATCCCATCATCAGAGGATCCCCAGCATTTAAGCTGTCTTCAGACCTTGCCTCAACGCCGCAGTGTTTAATCCAGTTGGTTAGCACCTAAGCCTAGTATCTTTGAGAACCTTCGTTGACTTTTGAATCCAGACTGGATTCTAACCTTTGTCTCTGCTTTCAGGAAACCTGTTTTTCTCCTGTGAAGCTCAGGAAGAGCTTAACCTGCCGAGCCTGCCCTCTGAGCCAAACCTGAAGTCTCTCTCTGGATTTCCATGCAGCTCTGGACCAAGAGCTGGAAACTCAAAGCCAAGGTCAGCTCTCTCTCAAGAAGTAAGACGCTGAAGCAGTTAACGGACTCTGCTGAACAAACTATCTCCGGACCCAACAGTTTCCCTCTCAAGGCTTTAACCAAGAACCCTCAAGGTACTAATCTGAAACTGTCTGAATCAAACTCTTCTGAGCAAACGCTAACTGAACTGTCTCCCACGCAGACTCCAGTGAACCAGTTCCCCAGGCCTGAACCAGAACCAGTGATTCATATAGTGCTTGTGACAATAAACATTGTTAAACCTTTTACTTCTGTTTCCATCTCCGTGGTGTTCTGCATAACTGGGTCTCACTAGTGAACCCATCATGACAATAATTAACTTTTTAAAGAGTTTCAGTCTGGCTTTATAGCTCATCATAGCAGTGAAACAGCTCTTCTTATAGTCACTAATGATATCCTCATGGCATCAGATAATGGACTGGTTTCTGTATTTGTGCTGTTAGATCTGTGCTGCATTTGATACAATTGATCATAACATTCTTTTAGAAAGACTTGATTATTTTCTAGGTGTTAAAGGAACAGCACTACTGGTTTAAATCGTATCTATCTGACAGACTTCAGTCGATCTTCAAACCAGTCTTTGAAAAAGAATTTTAGATAATAAAGTAAAACATCGTTGACGTGTGCACTTCAGGGCCTCCATAAAACCTTTAAAGCATATTCTAATGCTCACTGAAGTGAAAGAAGTGAAATCAGGCAGAGATGAATCTGATCTTATATTCATAGATTTCTACAGGAACTTCTGGAGAGCAAATTCACAAAATGCTTTTAAAATCAATCTGGATCTATTTTTGGTTATTCTGAGTGTCTCAGAAAAGCAATTTGAAAGTGTCAGAACATCTTCTATTTGACTCCTCTATGCAAGGAAGCTCATTTTCTCACTGTGGGAAAAAGGCTGTTTATAAGCCTGAATCTCTGCATGAAGAGGGAGGGATGATATTGATAGCTATGTATTAAGCATAAACATTTGATGAGAGAAGAAAGTGTGAAATAGGTAAAACAGGTAACTCTCAAATCTGATGCATTTGAGGTTCGACAGTCTCACTGAAAACATTCAGCTTCATGTTGTGCTTCTAAGCAACATCTATGATCCATCCATAGTTTCAGTTCTACCACAGAGGATCTAATTAATGAAAATAACAGTTAAATTACCGCCCTTTGTTTTTTAACATTTAAGGGACAGCAGAAATAAATCAAAATCAAACATTCATACTTCAAAAACTGCAAAAACAAGAATTAATTCAAGAGGTTTTTCAGAGCAGTTTTTAACATTTCACTCCTCTGACAGACAAAAGGAACATTTAAGGATGTTTAAAACAAAATACCAAGGTTAGCTGTGAGTTATAAATCTACATGTAATGAACTCTTGGCAAATATCAGTCTGTGTGTAATGATTAAATATAATATACATGTTTTTTACGTTTTTGAATTGAATTACTGATAATAGATATATCAATCATAATATGATTGAACTGTAATAATCTCACACTGGACAAATATACCTATACACTTATTCAGCTGTAGGCTGACATAGTGCAGCACCCAGGGAGCAGTGTGGGGTAAAGGGTCTTGCTCAGGAACCCAGAGCACAGGCTGTGGGGATTGAACCGGGTACTTGCAACCTTCTCAGAGCTCAAGCCCACTGCTCTAACCACTAGACGGTCACACGGTCTAATTATGTGACCACCACTAGATATATTTTTTAAGTTTCTGTCATTAAATGTGCAAAAAGCTTTTTCCAATTGACTTTTGAAGTTCCATGTGTTTGTTTATCTAGAAAGTTTATTTAATCAAAGTATATATTTTTAAATTAATCAATTAACTGAAAAAATATTGATGATTTGGTATTAAATATTTACAGGGTCATTATAGTGAGAGCTTTTAACATTCATGTTTAAATTGAAGCTGACAGCCTGACTGCAGCCTTTTAACGGCATCTTATTGTGCGTTCAAACCAAACGCTGTTCTAGTGCCCGAAGCAATCAATTTATATGTTATCCCTATGTAGAGGTGCATTCTGGAGTGCTGCAATGCAAATGGATGCGCTTCTTATGGGCACGATTGCAAAGTGTGCTTTGTACTGGTTACTGGGGTGGAAAATCTGAGCTTTTTTGTTTTGTTTTTTTTGACAAACAATCACGGACCAGATCTGGCTGTGACGTTTGTTGAAGAAGAATTTGTTTAAACTTTAAACAAAACAGAAGATAGAAAACATAATGTTGATATAGGATGAAGTTGGGAATAATCTTAAGAGATTTGTAGATGGCCTTTAAAAACGCCATTTTAATTTAGTCTTAAAAGGACCATTATATCAATTATCATTGGCTCCTTTAGCTTAAAAGCTGGTATCGTCATACGGCAGCCTCTGCTGGTCTCTATGTACAGATTCTCGGTCTGCTCTCCTGCCCTCCTTCCAAAACGGAGAGAAATATCAGCTGTGCTGCTGCCATCAGCCCCTTTGTTTATAGATTTTTGAGACCTGCCTGTTTTTCCAGTGTAGTCCTGTTTCTCTGACTGTGACTGGCTGGATGTGCTTCTTCATCCTCTGACATGGGAGCTGGCTCGGAGCTTGTCTGCCTGGCTGTGCGTTTCCTGGACGGGGCCGTCTTTTACAGTTGTTTTTGTATCTCTGCTTCTGTCTCCTTGAACCCAGTCGGCCTCAGTAGATGGCCGCTCACACTGAGCCTGGTTCTGCTGGAGGTTTCTTCCTGTTATAAGGGAGTTTTTCCTCTCCACTGTCGCTACAAGCATGCTTAGTGTGAGGGGTTGCCTTGGAGTCGTTGAGTCGATGCAATCATCTGGTTTTCCTTAGACAGAAAACTGAATCAATTTGACTGTATTATCTGGTAAACTGTAAAGTGCAAAATAATGACATGGCCTCCTTGTTCACCTAAACTGAACCCCATCGAGAACATGTGGTTATAAATTCCTGCAAATAGGTCTGATGTTACTGGGAATGGAAAATGAAAAGTGCTACAAAAGAAATATCTTGTTTCAGCCTTTATCCAGTCTCATGCAGAAGGGCTGGTCATATAACAGGTTATTTGAATTACAATAGGGTCAGTTAGTAAGGCAGAGTGAA